TCAAATTCTTGCACTTATCAAATCTCTGGCATAATAAAACATTCCATGGCACTGCACAGGAGGGTTTCCTGAAGAATTGTTTTCTAATTACAAATAATATGGCTGAAAATATCAGTAAGTTTGCCTATTTAGTGAGCATGACATCATTACTAGATGTTACACTGTAGTTATTCTGGAAGTTACTAAAGCAAAATCCGTACAGAATACGTGAAATTGCATTCTGTTGACTTTGGTTGATTGGGCTGCGATAAGGGGAGATGGAAAAGATAAGGGCTGCTCAATGTTCCAAGTATTGTAAAACACAATGATTTACTTTGTGTGGTCATTGTGAAATCTTTTCCTTGGCATTTTTGGAAAAGTTAATGACCTGTACAGTAGAACTATTTATGGTGAAATAGGAAGTGGCCAAGAAACAGCAATTGATTACCTGAGGTGGACAGTGGCCATTGAAAAACTCAAACAAGACACTCCTGTTCAACAGTCTGTTTGTCAATGTTATTTACAAAATCATTAGAATCTGGGCAGTCGTCTTCTGGTTTTGTTAATGAATTCAAATGAGTTAAACAACATGTGGATTCCAACATTGCAGTATCCAACACTTTTTATAGTGTCTTCTTGTGCTATGAATTAGGGTCAAATAACTGCATACACTTGTGCTTTGAGGTCAAGAATGTTCCCGTTTTCTTTAACTCCAGTAGTATGTCTAAGCTAGATTTAAGTTGTTGCAGTAGTGGTAAATATGGTCTGTCAAATTTGACTTTAATCATCTGACTCTTTCACTCCATGAAAAGGTCCAGGTATAAAATATATTTTTAAAAAACATAAGTACTGGCCATGATCACGATCACTAATTTGAGGCAAGTATTGTATATTCCATAAGGGTTTCCAAAAGCACTGAAATTACTATTTTACCTAAAGACTTTGAAACCAAGCGATTGTGTCAGCTGCACTAGAATTACACCCCCTGTGTTAAATCGCAGTTGTATGATTTTATGCAGTGGTGATGAAAAGATTGCCAATTTGGAGAGACAGTGTAACCAGATTTGAGACTGTACAAACGTTAGCTCTAATTGATCAGAATAGAGAGAATGAATGAAGACACATTATAGCAGGATCTAGAAGTGGCTCTGCCTGACTCTGTCTCTCTGACTCAACAAATATTTATAGAACAGAAGGTCACTAGTTCAGCCCATGCTGGTCAACAAAGATCTGACTATACTGAAATAACTGCAAAAATTGTGCAGTTATTGGAAATCTGTGAATTTTAAAAATATATGCTAGTAGTAAGACCCCTTACAGAATGCTGGAAATGGAATTCATCACATGGCCAATTAGGGATGGATAATAAATCCTGGTCCCACCATTGATGCCCATATCCACAAATATACTAGGGAAAAGGTAACACTGATCATGCCTTTCTAAGCTGCTTTAGAGAAGATACGATCTGCTGCATTACTATAATGGAAGTGCTTGAAATTCTGTTCTGTCCTGTCCCATTTGAGTATCACCCTTCACTCAGTTGGTAAAACTGTCTAGTGGGTCAGATTTTGGAATAATTAATTCACACATGGAATGCTGCATTCTCCAAATGCTCTCTAAGATGAGAAGTTAAACAACCATGAAGGCTTCCATGGGCTATTTACGGATAGGTTCCCTCGTCCTTGATTCATTGCAGATCCTTACTGGAGATAAATTGTCTGCTGTTTCCTTCTCTTGCCATAATGATTAGACTTCCTAATGTCACAAAGGCAGTCCATAAATGCAAGTCCTTTTTCTTTTTCTAATTTCCAATTGCCACCTCCTGAAAATATTTATTCATGATGGAACATGTGTATGCCACCTTTTAATCTCTGACATAGGCTCAAACAAGTGAATTCGAATTGTTTCAAACCAGCAAACTACTTGATTATGGGAAGATAGAGCTAAACTTAATTCCATCCTAATCTGGCACAACACTCCAGTATCATCTGTCATAGTCATGGCTATTAGTAGCTAACCCCAAGCAAACCAGTGATTTCACATAAAATCTACCTGGATTGAAAGAAATCATGTTTCCCATCCTCCTTGTTATTCCCCATCTCAACAAAGCTTCAGCTATTATGCTGTGAACTCTGGAAATCTTTATAAAAACACAAGACGCTTGAAAAGCTCAGCAGGTCTGGCAGCATCTGTGAAGAAAAAAAATTAGAGTTAATGTTTCGGGTCCTGTGACCCTTCCTCAGAACAGGAAGGGTCACAGGATCTGAAACATTAACACTGATTTTTCTTCACAGATGCTGCCAGAGCTGCTGAGCTTTTCCAGCAACTTGTTTTTGTTCCTGATTTACAGCATCTGCAGTTCTTTCAGTTTTTAATCTGGAAATCTTTACGTTGTTTCATTTTTTTCTCATTACACCTTGAAACATCCTGATAAACCAAACTCTCGAATCTCCACTCCATGTTCTCAAATTGTGGCTCGTGACCATGATGGAGTGTGCAAGTCACATTTGAGGCTAAAAGCACCTGTTCCACAACAGTGACTGTGGAGGGGGAACATCCCAATCCAAAGTCTCTGGGACAGCCCTAGATCATTGATCAATTCTGCCAATCAGCACAAGGTGGACATTGAGTCATATGCTGTTGCCCCAGCAATGCATTCTGAGAATATTTGTGCTTTGACTTGGTGCAGCTGAAGATTAGAATGTGTCATTCTCACTGGCCAAGTACAGGGGGTTCTGCTGTAATGCCATGGTTGCTTTCCTGCACAATATCATGTTATAGAAAATCACACTATAAAAATAGTGGGGCCTATGGAAAAAGCAGGGTTTGGGGCAGACCACCAAAAAAAGCACTCATCTCTTAAAAACCACTCAAAAACCTAACACACAGGATAGTGTAGTATGAATAAGTGTTTAATTCCTATCTAATAATGAAATGAAACTAAATTTAATGCCTGATCTTGAAAAAATGTCAAGGTGACTTGATGAGGGTGGAGGTTTTGAGGTTTTGAGGTTGCTGGGGCTGAGCGTCATCGTTGTCATCATCATCCCAGAAGTGGATGGCTGTGGTTCATTGTCTCCTGACTCTTGGGGGTCGGCTTAAAAAATGTTGCTTTTGCTGCTTTGCCCTTTTTCTGCTTTCGTGAAGAAGCTGTTCATAGGGTGTCAAATCTTATTCCACGAATTGCTACCCTGCTGCGTTCTGCATTGTAATCGTTGTCCTCTAAGAGCTGCAACTGCTTCTCAATTTCCCTCAGGATAGAAGACAAAACCGAATTGGAAATCTCTCGTGGTGCTGCATCCTGGACGACTTCATCTTCATCTCTGGCTTCTGTTTCCCCCTCAGCAACAAGTTGTAGATCAGCTGTAGAGAAATCTTCACAGTGGGACTCCAGCAGCTCTTCAACATCCTCACTTTCCACTTCTTCAAATCCGACTTGCTTTGCAAGATTGACACGATGTTCTTTGATTCTTGCAAGCTCCTCTGATGGATCAAAGGTTTTAAAATCTTAAAAAAAAATCTGGGAGAAACTTCTGCCAGACTGCATGCATGCAGTCCTTACTGACATCACCCCAGGCCTCCATGATAATGTCAATTGCATTCTTGATGTTAAAGCTTTTCCAAAATTGAAGAACACTGTCCTTATCCCCCTCCGTGACTACAATCAGCCTCTTAAATGTATGCCCTAAATAATAAGCTTTAAAAGCTGCTATTACACCCTGGCCAATGGGCTGAGGGAGAGTGGTTGCGTTTGGGCGTAGAAATAGCACTTATCTTTTTGTGGAAGAATGGCTTGGTGCATTATCCAGGATGAGGAGAATTTTGAAATCCAAATTTCTTTTTCCTGCAATACATTTCAAAAACATCTTCCAAAACATAAACAATAAGGTTGCCGATGAAATCGCGTTATAGCCAACCCAAGTTTGTGTTTTAGAAATAGCATTCCCCAATTCATCAGTCATGTTATAGCCAATTTGCTTTGCTGGAACATACAATACAGCAGAACCCCCTGTGTGTGTAAATTAGAGGGTTTACATGGTGGAGCCAGGAAAAGAGCAGTAGCTTCAACTTTATTGTTTGTTTTATAATCTCCTTAACTCTAAGGTCAATAGCCGTACCTCATGGGTATCGGTATCTAGACCAGAAGGAGGGGAGGAGAATGGGGGCATTGAGTAAGAGGAGGGAAGTTGGGAAATGAGACTACTGCGAAGTAGAAGTATTGGTATATATGGATTTGAGAGGGATGTTGGGACTAGGCATGTGTGCGTGCTGAGGTGGGGTGACAGGCATCATGAAATCTGTCCCCAGGGAAATGGTGATCTTGGCTTAATCTACATGAGTTTGTAAATATTTTTATAAAGAACTTGTATTTTTAAAAAAGTGGAAATCTGTACTATTTACTATATGGTGAATATAACAATTAATGCTGACCTAGCCAATAATGCCTACATCCCATTAATTACTTTAAAAAAGAATTGAGATCAGTGCTGATTTATGACATCAGTACCCTGACGTTCAAAGCATCACATTTCACTTTATCCTTTACCACTTGTAACAACAACAAATTTTCACGATTTGTTACCAGCAATGTGTCGTAATCTGTTTGATTTCATTTCATTTCATTGCATTGCCGTACTGAGTAATAGAAATGTATGTTGTCTGGTATCCTTTTAAGTATTTGGAGTCTTGCAACCAGAAGACAGTATAACTGAATTTTGTACAGTGGCCATTTTGGTATTGTTGAACTGATACTTACTAATTATCTTGTTTGGATGTTATTACACACGTCTGAAGCAGAGAGCACTTGTATCCTAGGCCTTTTCGGTCAAAGATAGAAACACTATCACTGCATCAAAATCCTGCAGTATGTATCTGATAAACTAATCTGGAATGCCCTAGATTATAGACAATTTCATCATTTAAAGTGGGTGATCCTTTGAAACAGCTTGAAAATATTCCTTCTCAAATGTGGCTGTTAAATTACTTTTACTTTTACTTTTACTTTTTTTTTGGTTTTTCAGCTGGCTGATTGCAATCCTGTCCCAATTAAACCCCCTCTTTGGTCCACAATTGAAAAATGAAACAATATGGTACTTGCGCTTCCAATGGCCTTGAATCTGACAGCAAATATCTTTGATCAGGTGAGTGTTTGTGGAACTGCTTTATTTCACAGTTTTATGCTTTTAGAAGATGTAGTTTATTCAGCATGTACAGTACCAGTATATCTGAACAGAGTGACCTTGGCATTTGTTTGATGAACTAGTTTTGTATTTTTTTTGTATTTGGATGAAACTAGCCTAAGCTTTTAGATATTTAAATTGAAAACCTTTTGAATACTGATTAATAACAAGCCCTGGTGGTTTGCTTAAAGGGGGTGGGATGTCCCCCCAGTTGTTTTACTGGGGAGAAAGTGCAAGATGCCCTCCTGTAGCCAATAGCAAGAGCATGTTTGACTGCAGTTGGGCAGTTAGTCGAAAGGTTTTGTAGGGAGATGTAATGAATGTCTGGTTTTGCAAATCGTTATGCTTTTAAACAATCTATTTTAACTTCAAAATGGAATGGAATTGGTGGGATGTGTATTTGTTCCTGGATGCAACATCCATAAAGGGTTTTGCAGTGCACTGACAGTGTCCCTCCCTACTCTTGAGCCAGGAGCCAATTGCACCTGCTCCAGAGATGTGTAATAACATCTCTGATAAGAAAATACCTACAACATCTATGATCGTCCACTCAGTAGCAGCTTAGTGTACCACGTGCAAGGGCCTGTGCAGAAATTCATCAAGGCTGTTTTTAGATGGCACCTTTGACACCCTTGAGCACTGCCAACTACTAGAACAAGGATAGCAGATACATGAGAACACCACCCCGACGTTTCCCTTGCTCACTCTCGCGTGCCCTCCGAGATAACTCTTCAAAATATTTGTGCTCCTTCTTTCCCTGATCTCTTGCGGACTCTGTTTCTATTGATTTATGATTTGAATTTTAAGCTATCTAGGTCCTAAAATGTTATTCTCTTCCCAAACTTCTCCACATTTCTTTAAACAGGGTTTCCCAGAATAGTAGCTAGGACTCCAAGTTGGGTCAAAAGATCCAAGGTGGTAATGACTGTCATGGAGTTTGGACCAAGTTTTAACTGGCCTTCACTATCTCCAGTGCTCACTGAGGGTTCTCAAGCATTTTCAAACCTTGGAATGAGGTCACAGTGGGGTAGATGTTCAGGAGGCAGTATCTTTAAAACTCATGTCTTTGATCAAGTTTGTGATCAACTGACCATGCATCATGTTGCATTTCCTTCATTAATACATTTATGTAACATCTTTGTGTAATGCTTTGATATTTTATTATACACTTTGTTTGAATAGCTGGAATAGTAATTTTATTTTTAAGTTGGGGATGTGTGTTGGAATGAAGAAAATACCAACTATGTGCTACGTTACTTGGGGAGAAAAAAGTAGCAGTGCTTCAGACCACAGCATTTCATTTCTGTTTAAATTTTTCCCAAAAATATTAGGACATGTGAGCATAAGGCATGTTCTGCCAGAACACACACTTAACATGGTTTGTGCACTCACTTTGCCACACTGACCTCCACAAATATGTGGGAGACAATTGAACCATATTTGTATAATCCAAAAATTTCATTCCAAGAAAAGAGTTGAGGAGAGAAGTTTCTTTAGAGGCAGAGCTGCTATCTAACCTTTTCTGGACAATCTTCAAGTTTTAAAGTTATTAGATGCGGAATTTTCCATGTAAAATGTGACTGTGCAAGATATCTGGGGAGTTATGCAAAATTACAACTCAGAATAACTAAAAGTAGTGAACAGAACCACTTTTTTAAACTGAGTTATGTTTATATAATGGTTTTGTATAAAATATGTAATTTATGGCAGACCAGTACAGCATGTTCTAATGTTGCTAATTGTTCTCCATGGCTTAGACTATTAGACTGAAAACCAAGTGCTGTATTTAATGCTTTTGCGAAGTATTTCCCGTTAATATAACTCGGTATTCCATAGCTGTTTCTGGAGTGAAAATTGCTTAAGTTTCTCTTAGTATCGAAAAATATCAATTTGAGTGGATTCATGGGGCAAGTATTTGAAGCCTTTGGTCATTGCTGTTTTGGAAGCAGAAGTAGTAATTGTCAGTCTCATTTTGTCAGTCAACAATTCTTTTAAATTAAAAAATTGGAATTAATGGCCCAAAAATTGTATTTTTAAGCTATGAAAATATTTGGATCTGCTCTGTGGATGTTTATTTATGCTTTATATAATCTGTTTTTACAGAGAAGGAAGATACCTTTTAAAATTGCTGCAGATGATTCATTTCCTTTGTACATGAGCAGCTTTCTTACATGGAACTTTTCCAAATGGCATTCAACAGTGGTGGATTTTTGAAAATTTTGCGTTCTGGTTTATAATGCATGAATTGGAATTGATTCTTGGAGTTTAAAGTAATAAAACTAACAAGTGTGAATATTTAGCAATATATTGGAAGCTTGACTGTGCCTTAAATGTTCTACAATTTTATGACACTTGTATGTAAAGAGAAATCATCAGAATGTGCCACTGAGGGGAAATAATATATTTTGTGTTTATTTTGTGGGGTCTTATTTTTGTACTAACCTGTGTACGGCAATGTGAATAATGCAGATCTAGTTGGAGCAGATATGTACTGCTTTTGTATTTCTTGCCTTCTGTTTTCTTACTAAAGTCACATTTCAAAATCTGATCCTGATAATTTAATAAATACTTGATGAAAGCTCTGGTTAAGGCTATATCTCACTTTTTTCCTCTAAAACATTTATAGCTTAACTTTAGCAAGCATCTGGTTTTTGTATTGTAAACCCATTTCATTTAATTAAGGAGCTATAGTAATCTTAAAAATATACTTGTAATCTTGCTGTTATTTGGTGCGGAAATAACATCAGATTTAAGCTTGTGGTTGTTATTATGACCATTTGTTTGAGAAAGGAAACTGAAACCTCATGCCCTATCTGAACTATTGTAACAAATGGCTTTTGTTCAATATTGTGCTTGTCTTTGGAAGAACACTTAAGTATTGTGGAATTAAAATTATACAGAAATTCAGGAAGGATGGTCATGTGCTTCTGACATGAATAGCACTATTGGTTACTGTTGCAAAGAGAGTACATTCTGTGACTGGAATAAGAACTTGGAAGTTATTGTGCTTGTAGGAAAAAAAAGCAATTAAGACCGTTAACACTCAGGAGCAGAGGTAGGCCATTCAACCAACCACCTGCTCCACCATTCAATAAGATCATGACTGATCTGATATTCCTCAACTCCACTTCCCTGCTGATTTGCCTTGCAGATTTAAAAAATCTGTCTGTCTCAATGACCCAGCCTTGACAGCCCTCTGTGGTAAAGAATTCTACATGTTCACTACCCTCTGAAAGAAGACATTTCTCCTTTATCTGTCTTAAAAATGTGACCCCTTATTCTGATATTATGCCCTGTGGTCCTAAACTCTTACCACAGTGGGGAAACAACCTTTCCACATCTACCTACAAGTCCTACAAAAAACATTTTAGATGTTTCAATAAGGTTGCACCTCATTCTAGTAAATTCCAATCAGTACAGACCCAACCCAATTGCTGGACTGTTAAGCCAGAGACTCAGATAATGTTCTGGGGACCCGGGTTCGAATCCCGCCACGGCACATGATGGAATTTGAATTCAATAAATATCTGGAACTAAGAGTCTAATGATGACCGTGAATCCATTATCGATTGTTGGAAAAACCCATCTGGTTCATGTCCTTTTTTAGGGAAGGAAACTGCCATCCTTACCTGGTCTGGCCTACGTGTGACTCCAGACCCACAGCAATGTGGTTGACTTGTAACTGTCCTCTGGGCAATTAGGGATGGTCAATGAATGCTGCCTAGCCAGCGACACCCTCCTCCCATGAATGAATAAAGGGAAAAAAAACCTACTCAACTTCTACTCATAAGACAGTCCCTCCATGCCTGTTATCAGTCCAATGAACCTTTTCTGTAGAATGAGGGGTCCAGAACTGTTCACAGTATCCTTGGTCTTTTCTTCTGATCTGATTAGTACCTTGTACGCTTTTAACCAAGTCTCCCTACTTTTATACCCCTATGCCTTTGAAGTAAAGCCCAACACTCAATTTGCCATCCATATTACCTACTGAACTTGGATATTAGCTTTTTTGAGTCATGGATAAGGACTCCCAAATACCTCCCTCATAGTTTTCTGCAGTTTTTCTCTATTTAAATGATATGGAGCTCATCTCCTTCCTGTAAAAGTGGATAACTTCACATTTTTCCACATTATTTATCATCTGCCAAGTGTTAGCCCACTGGCTTAACCTATCTCTATCCATCTACAGGCCCTTCATCCTCACCATTTGCTTTCCAACTATTTTTGTCATCCACAAATTTGGCTATAGTACATTTGCTTTCCTTGCCTAATTAATTAATATAAATTGTAAATGATTATAGCCCCAGCATTGATCCCTATGCCACACCACTAGTTAAAGGTTGTCGTCCTAAAAATGTGCCCCTTTCACAACTCTTGTCATATATTAGCTAGCCAATCCTCAATCCATGCTAATATATGATCTCCAACACCATGAGCTCTCATCTCAGGTAGCCTGATATGTGATACCTTCAGAAAGATCAAAATATAGTACATCTACTACTTCCCCTTCATTCATTCTGTTTGCTACCTTCTCCAAGAATTCTAGTAAATTTGACAGGCATGATTCCCTTTTATGAAACCATGTTGATTCTGCTTGATCAAGCTATGTATTTTAAATGGCCATTCAAGTTAGGGAATTAAATGTGTCGCTCAAAGCCTGGTGTGGGTGGAATGGGTTTCAGATCATGGATTTATCTTGCTTTTTTTTTTAGAAAGGACAAAATGGTGTAGTGGTATTATCACAAGATTATTAGTTCAGACACCCAGGTCCCCAGAACAAATCCCACCATGGCACATTGTGGAATTTGAATTCAATAAAAATCTGGAATTAAGACTCTGATGATAATGATGATTATTAAAACCAATGTTGATTCTCAGAAAACCCACCTGGTTAACTAGGGAAGGAAACTGCTGTCCCATCTTCATCTGGCTTATGTGTGACTCCTCACTCACAGGAATGTGATTGACTCTTAACTGCCCTCTGGGCAATTTCAGAATGGCAATAAATGGTGGCCTAGCCAGTGACACTTTCCATGAACAAATACTGACAAGTACTGGGTAGAAGGGAATTGTTCAGGTGGGGCAGGCTTCACTTGGATCATATTGTGACGGTGAATTGAATAACTAAGTTTGTGGGGAGGGCTTTAAGCTGATTAGAAGTTGAGGCTTTGGGAGAGAGGGAAATGTATACTTACAAAGCAAAACGATATGGCAGCGTTGAAGGGCAGCTATTTGGATAACGATACCAGAGTCCGAAAGGAAATGACAATATACAAACATAGAAAAATAGCACCAAATAGCATCGTATAGCTGTATAGCATTAAAACAGATATTTTGGTCCAACTCATCCATGTGCACTAGATATCCTAAATTAATCTAGTCCCATTTGCCAGCATCTGGCCCATGACCGTACAAACTCTTCCTATTCATATACCCCTCCACATATCTTATAAACATTGTAACTACCAGCTTTCACCGGCATTTCATTCCATACATGGACCACCTTCTGCATTTTTAAAAAGTTGCTATTGGGTCCCTTTTAAATGTACCCATCCCACCTTTAACCTATGCCCTCTAGTTTTGGATTCCCCTAGCCTGGAGAAAAGACCTTGGCCATTCACCCTATCCCATGCCACTCATGCTTTTATAAACTTCTATAAGGTCACCCCTCAGCCTCAGATGTTCCAGGGAAGATAGCCCCAGCCTGTTCAGTCTCTCCCTGTAGTTCAAACCCTCCAACCCCGGCAATATCCTTGTAAATCTTTTCTGAGCCCTTTCAAGTTTCACGACATCCTTCATATAGCAGGGAGACCGGAAGAACACAGTATTCCGACAGTGGCCTACTAATGTCCTGTAAAGCCGCAACATGACTTCCCAATTCCTCAACTCAATGCACTGACCAATAAAGGCAAGCGTATTAAATGCTGCCTTCACTATCTTGTCTACCTGGGACTTCACTTTCAATGAATTGTGAACCTGCACTCCAAGGCCTGTTTGCTCAGCCACACTTCCCAGGACCCTACCATAAAGTGTATAAGTCCTGCCCTGATTTGCTTTTTCAAAATGCAACACCCCACATTTATCTAAATTAAACCCCATCTGCCACTCTTCGACCATAGGGTCATAGGGGAAATATTATAGCAAAAAGGCAAAATTAATAACTCCTTACTTGAATGTACGTAGCACTTGGAGCAAATTAAATGAATAGAGGTTAATGGGTATGATTTTACAACCATTACAGAGATATGGTTACAAGGAGATCAAAGTTGTGAACTAAATATTCAGGGGAATGTGACATTTCAAAAGGAGAGGCAGGAAAGAAAGGTAATGGGGTGAGATGACATGAGTACAATATCCAGAAATGATCTTGGATTTGAAAATGTAGAATTCATATGGGCGAAAGTAAGAAATAACAATAGGAAGATGACATTGGAAGTAGTCTAAGCACCCCCCTAGCAGCAGTACTGTAGAATCATAGAATTCCTACAGTGTTGAAGCAGGCCATTCAGCCCATCAAGTCCACACTGACCCTTCAAAGAGCATTCCAACCAGACCTACCCCTTCTCTGTAACCCTGTATTTCCCATGGTTAATCCACATAGCCTACACATCCCTGGACACAATGGGTAGCCTAGTGTAGCCCATCCACCTAACCTGCACATTTTTGGAATGTGGGAGGAAACTGGAGCACCAAGAGGAAACTAATACAGACAGTTGCGTGAGGGTGGAATCGAACATCGGTCCTTGTTACTGTTAGGCAGCACTGCTAACCACTGAGCCACCATGTGGCCAAGAATAAATCAGAAGATAAGGCAAAAAGGGGGAGTACATTGACTGTGGTTAACTTTAATCTTGTAGATTGGGAAAGTCAAATGGAAGATCTTGGAGTAAAAGATCTATTCATAGACAGTGACCATCAGGTAGAATTTAGCATTCCGTTTGAGAAACTAGAGTTAGTAACCACTGTGCTAAACTTAAATAAGGGTAAATACGAAGAAATGAGGACAGAGTTGTTTTGAGTTGACTGGGAAAAGAGTTTACCAATAAAGGCAGTTGAGAAACAATGACAAATGTTGGAGAAAGTAGTTCATGATTCACAGCAAAGATATTTTAGGAAGAGAATAAACCAAAAGAAATTAACCAGGGGCTTAAGGATAGCATCAAATTAAAAGTAAATTGTACAATGTGGCAACCATTGTTAGTGAGCCAAGGATTTGGAAAGTGTTAACAACCTAACAAAAAATGACCAAAACAGAAAAGAAAATAAACAGGATAAGCTACTTCAAATATTAAAAAGTAAGAGAGAGGCCAAAGTGGATAATAGGCCCCTCAGATAATGAGGCTGGGGAACTAATGAGGTCCTTGGAAATGGCAGAGGAGTCAAATAAATACTTTGCATCATCTTTCATGGTAGAAGACACTAATATTACTCCAAAAATATTAAAGAATCAGGGGGCAAAATAGGACAGGAAACAAATACAACTATCACCACTGAACATATAGTAGGGATTCTAATGAGGCTAAAGTTGAATGGAAAATATAAATTGTGTGTGTAACAATTTTTTTTGAATATGGACTGAATTATTAACTTGATTTTCCAGTAATCTTTCAAATAAAGTCTAACACTAACTGCAGAAAGAATATCAAGCTAACGGAATTGTATGTTAGCATTTATTTGCAAATTATTACCTGTCAATGCAGTGAGTGAAAATACTAATTAGTTGTTATTGAATGGAAAATATTTAATTTCCTGTAAGATTTCCAAACTTAATATTAACCATTACCCAAAAAATAATTTAACACTCTTATTTTGGGTAAATAACATTTTTAATTTAAAAATTACACGGAAAAAACATTTCTTTTTTAGCTCCTTGAAAAATCAATTATCACAGTTCCACGTGGTTTGACATAACATTTATTTTGATCCTTGACTCAATATAAACAATACGACAGAAGATCTTTTAGTACATTCAGTAGATGTTCTAGTACGTCCAACGTTGGTTGAACATAGGTCCTCATTTACTAATGGCTGTCCTGAATGAGGAGCTACATTTTTGAGCAAATAATGTTCCCTGAAGGTTCTCTGGTTCATAAACTTTTACCTCATGTATATTCTAGTATTAGCCAAATGGGCTCACCCAAAACCATGTGACCCCAAATTGCTTTGTGAACAGTAAATATAGGGGTGGGTTCTATGATCTGGGGGTGTCTTGATTTAGTTTTTGAGTTCCATTACTAAGCTGCTATATTCTAGTGGATCATTAGCCAGGGATTTCCATGACTTAATGAGGATATTTGATCTTTTCAGGATTGCTTTGAGGGCATCCCTAATTCACTGTCCTCCTGCAGACGAAGTTCTGAACAGAGCAGTTGCTTTGGGAGTCTGCTGCCAGGCATACATGTCCTGGCCTGCAGAACTGGATTTGAGTGATCAGTGGCTCAAGTTGAGTATCTTGGCTTTGCAGATATTCTTGCTGGGCTGCCTTTCTTGCCACTGGATTTGGAGGATGTTTTGAAGGTACTGCTGGTGGTACTTCAGTGCTCTGAAGTGAGCACTCCATGACTGTGGGGAAGAGTAGTTGCAGACGTGGATCTACCCTGTCTGTTTTCCAATGGCTAAATCCCTCTTTCTTTTGTTTGTGCTTTAACTATAGTGTTTAAATAAATTGTGTTTGCTTAACGTTCAGTAGTTTGACCAGTCGCACCACATCTGGAACACGCATTTCACATCTAACTTTAAAATAAGAAAAAGTTAGGGTATGGGGTACGTTCTTAAAATATTTTGAGGGCGCCTGATCTGGTCCATAACACTTTACGATTAATGTTGCTTGGCCTGCTGTGTTCATCCAGCCCTGCAACTTGTCTCGGATTCTCCAGCATCTGCAGTTCCTACTATCCACGATTAATGTAATATTGGTTCTGAGTGGTAGTAAGGATGTCAATCTCCCAATTTCAAGCGGGGTATTCCCCGACGGCTTTAATAGGTTCAGATCATGGTCTCCAGCCGCAGCGTGTGCTCTGCAGCATGCAGGCTCTTCCACTACCTGCCAATCGGAATCCTCTGGAGTTTTCTATGAAATTTGTAGAAAAAGTGGTCTTGGAGCCGAAAGGGCTGGCGGTAAGCAAATAACGAGTGGTGGGTGAAACCAAGCCATCTCCTGTAGAGTCAGATCAGATTACGACTGGCATATTCCTAAATTTAGAATAAGGTGATAATTCTTCCTAATGCATGCAAAAAAAACACTACAAAGGCGAAATACTACAGTTGCTGGAAAACCCATAGAAAATTCAATTCAAAGGCTATTGCCCTGAAACCAAAGCGCACGCATCTCCACATAAACTAGCATTTTCTGCTGCTACCTTCCAAGCAAATATTGCCTTTACAGTGTCAATGGGACGCACTAGAACATTTTAACCGCTACGAGGTGGTGGGAATATTTAAGAGCTGTCAAAAAAAGTCTGATAGACTAACAGCGTGTCTTTTTTTAAATCAGAGTTGGGGGACTTTTTTTAAATTCAAAAATGTTTGAAACATTCTCAGG